CCATCATCGACTGGTGTCGTCGTGTTGCTGCGTCCCCAGCCGCCAAAAGACGATGAGGAGATTCCGATCGCTAACTTTTCTCAGCCTGTTTCAGTTCCTTAACAGCGTGTGCTGCCCTTGTTAACCGGGGCCGTTACGAATTCGCTATAATGTTCGATGGCAACAATACCATGTAGGGCAAGTGATTAAATTTTACGATAGACTTCGCCACAATGCCCACCCCTCCTTCCCATCCGGGCTCCGGATTAACAACGACAGAGTTAAATGTTATCACAACGTTAATGATGTTATGTATTCCGTACTTTTATAGTAACGGATGAACTGGGTCATTTTTAGAAGTACTGCTGACTTGTTCATTACCGTCTTTTCACTTAGATATAAGATTCATTATTGTACGATTGACACTGTTATTTATGAATTTAGGAAGTAAACATCGCTTTCTCCTCACTTCTCCGGATTCACCGGCGTTAGTCATACAGCGCCCTTGCCTCAGTTGCACCGGCGGACAGTTTAAGCAGACCATCGCTCCATGGTATTGTGGCATATGGAATGCGTTGGTACAAAACGGCCTAAGTTCATTGAGTCGCACAGTAATGCGTTCGAACTCTGACCAGTATAGCTCGATCCGCCTTTAAAATTCGTAGAATTGAGAGAGATGGCGATTCTTACTGGTAATATCGAATACCAGCGGTTTGCTAGCAGACCCTTAATACCGAGTTCAAGGTTTATTTTATGTTTGCGGATGGTAATATGTCTGTTCACGCTGGAACAAGTTACTGTTCTGCCTAATCAAGTAGGGCGATTTTGTACCTGCGCCCTCCAGGTGCTGAATACCACTGAGCCGTCTCTCTTTGTGACATTGACGAGTGGGTGGTTTTTCAGTAGCCCCATTTGTTACCAATTTCTGAATGGTTACTGCCTTGGGCATCTGGCTCTATAGGCAACGTATAACGCACTTCGTGGAAGAAATTTCGTTCAGTCCCGTTTAATTTGTCATCGTTGATTTCAGGCTCGTATATGCTGTGCGATTGCGGAAGTGTACAAGATGATGTCATTCAACCGTAAGATGGCATTTTACCTTCGACTCGCTGCTGTGTTGCGTTCGAATGCTCGAGAGTACCGACTAATGACGTCTGATGATTATCGCATCGTATAAGCTGATCGCGAGCATGGCATGGCCGCCTAGTTCATCGCCCTTATTTAGATATACTATCTGCTGTTGCAAGCATCAGACCGCTACCTGATGTCCAATTCCGTGCAGTCAGATGTTCACAAAGATGGCTGGATGGACGTCAGGTTTACGATCCTGAACGAATGCTACATCACGGCTTTGA